CAGCGATTTTGAGGTAATTTAGTATGTCTCGCGATAGTTATTATAAAAATATAATATATAGTATAGCACAAAATCCTCCATCACAAAACAAATTACCGAAAAAAACAAAAGCAACTCCAAAATCAAACTCTTTCCAACCACCACTAAACCGCAATTTAGCTTGTCAACGAAAAAATAACCCCAAAAATAATTCTATTGGGCAACACCGCTTAAACAAAAGATTGCAACTAGGTAAAATTAAAATGTTCAAAGCAATTTCGTACTAATGGAGCACAGTGATTAATGTTACTGTCGACATTATTTTAATGAGGATAAATTGCATATTTAAGTGTCCCCACTAATAGCTTCCTCGATTCTTTCCCGCCTTTCTTAAGCTCGGATTAACTATCCGACCATTGAGGTCCTCGTTTGAATTTTTCGGTCCAGCAGCGATAAGTCTTCTAAAAATAGATATCGTGTTTTTAATTTAAGAGGAAGGAAGTGGTTTTTAGTTAATAAAGAAAACGTAGTATTAGCACAGTCTAAAAATCATGATTTTTATACTGTGGTAGTAGTTCAAGAAGTTCATATACCTAATCAGTTAGTCGCGGAGTACCGGGTTACCGGGGCTCCGGCTCGACGTGCAGGAGAAGGAACGGGGTGGTTTTTAGTCAGTAAGAGTCTGACACTCCCTCCCGCCTCACCCAGGCGGGAGCAGACATTCGATGATCTTCCCCTCTTAAAAAAAAACCTAATCAGTTTTGTCGATCTAATCGTCAATCTAACCTTCCACAAGATGGACAATGACATACTTTATTTTAAATCATATCTATTCAATAGTAAATTACTTTAGTTCACTAGTGTCTCTTACTGAAGAATTTCCTTTTCTATCTGCTCAGGGATTAGTAAAAATATTGTCATGTTTGCAAGACTAATACATAACATATCAAAATCAACCTTGAAATCAGGCCTTCTGAAGCTAATTTCCAGTAATTTCAAAACCTCATCTACCAAAACATATCCCATTTCCTAAAAAAAACAATACCTACCTACACACATAAAGGTAATTCTGTAACAAACTGCTTCGAAGGCCTGAAACTTTGAGCGTAAAAAGTGACAAATTACAAGTTATTTAAAAAAGAAAATTCCCGAAGAATGTCGGAACTTAATCACGAGGTCGATTAAAACTTTGTGATGTTGTTCAAACACCATGGGGACACTTTAAAAGTTTTTATTACTTATTGATTTACAAAGAGTTGCGTCTCAATCCCGAACGAAGTATTGAAGTATAGTTTTGTTAATTAAAATCTTGGTCGAGTTGTTGCTAAGTCAATATTTATTTACGCCAGTTTTGCTCGTTGTTAAAGAAGGACGAAGGATGTCTGTTAAGGTTAGGTAGAAGAATAGGTACGTACTTATAATGCATTAAGTTGTCTCAAAGTTTCATTGACTTATAACTCAAATAATTTCGAAATACGTCGCCTGATTCAGAAACAGAATCTAAAAAATGCCATAGAAAAGTAAACAATCGCATTGCTACGTCATAATAATTATGACGTCATAATAATTAAACGTAGCAGCGCGACATTTGCCGCGTCGCGTTATGCTGCTCATGAAAATGAGCCTCTAGCATGGCTTGAAACTAGTCGAGTTTCTCATCAAACAGTTATGAGTATGCCGAAAATATAATAATTAATTTAGTATACTTGCTTTGCTTTTGCTTGTTCGATTGTAGACCATCTTGCGTAGTGATGATTAATACTAAAACGAATTGAAAAGGCGTATGATTAACAATGGGCACTCATAGGCCAATGATGATGACTCTCATTGTTGAATAACATTATTTTCTATTTTTTTTTTTCAAATCATATCTTTATACATATATCTTTTTTTATGTCATAAGCCGGTAACCGAGCAGACGGATCACCTGATGGTAAGCAATTGGCGTCGCCCATGGACACCTGGAACACCAGAGGCGTTACAAGTGCGTTACCGACTTTTTGGGGATAAGGAGTTTGAGAATCGTTGGGTATTCAGGGATTGGGGAAGGGGAAGGATCACTCACACGACGAAACACAACGCAAGCGTTGCTTCACGTCGGTTATCTGTGAGGCCGTGGTATCACTCCGGTCGAGCCGGCCCATTCGTGCCGAAGCATGGCTCTCTCATACTTGAAGCATGGCTCTCTCACACTTGACTATGTATGTCTACTTTACTCTTTATCAGCCTAACATACGAGAAACCGCGGAAATATTAAAAACGACTAAATTTATTTCGTTGTACCTAATTTTACAGTGGTTTACTCATTCGGCTAATTTTGTGATTTAACTCATGATTAGCGATGTAGGTTATAATAGCAATTCCGTCAGTGTGGTTTCAATCTATTTGTATATGTAAATAATGTTATGATGCATCCGACTAGCTCATTGTTATGTAAATTGTATACCAACCAGTATATAGTTACGAACATTAAACTCAATTTTCCGTTGTTCATCTTTGTAAGTCGAAGCTTTTATAGAACCGATATCTTTAAGGCTTCTAAATCCAAATGAAACAAGATTAACACCAAATCTAATTCAGTATCAGACAAAAATCTAAATTTACTTTACGCAATTTCACTTTAATTTATGTACAGTAAATCCTTAGACGCTAATCCTTTAAATCCGTGTTCAGCAATACCAGCCGTCCGCAGACACGGAGAATTTAAAATATTTTTTCATAATTTTAATACCGGACGGAGCAAACGAAAATCCGTCCGGAAATATTGAGTACGAACCGAAATATGCGTCTGAGTTTGCAATTTGAATATTTTATAGTAACGACCGAATGCAGTGTGTAAGCTCATAATCCAATTGAACTAAGTGGATTTTTGGTATTTATTTTCATAAACGTAAAGGTAAAAAGACTGGAAACGTTAAGTATTACAATGAAGAGGAAAATGCTTTTTTGCATAATTAACTCTTTGTGTCGTAGTGGACGTCGGCCGACCGATGCTTGCAGAGAATTTGCCTTTAACATTTTCCGTTGAACAGTTAATGAGTGGAGTATTTTATTCTGTCAATTTCTTTTAAAGATGACACGGTGAATCTGAAGTGTTGTTCAGAACTGATGTTCAATAAGTAAATACATAAAAGAGTAGGATAGGTATTATTCTCTTATCAATGTAATACAAAGTCTGTGAAAATGAAAATATCTGACTACATAATTATCATTATCACTAACAACCGTGGTATCAATGACCTACCTTTTTTTTCAAAGGGGGATAATCTTCGACTGACTTCTCCCGCCAGGGTGAGGAGGGAGGGAGTATCAGACTCTTACTGCCTAAAAACTACACTGTTCCTTCTCCTGCCCTTTAAGTACTCCGCGGCTCCATATCGGCATAAGCCCCATCCGTGATGGTCTGATGGATCTTCGGGGCGCGCGCGGAACGCGACGCGCCGTACGCTCGAGTCTGATTCTGGTTGAGCGGCGAGCTACCCATGCTCACCGTCCGCAGGCTCGTGAATCAATAACCTACCTATCTGTGTATTTAGTTAACGGAGTTATTTGACACAAAGCTCCATACAAAATATGTCGAAATTCCATCTCTAGCAACCAAATCTACCGACAAGTTTGTACTGATCCCACTCAATTTTATAGCAAAATATGAACTCTTGTTCTAAAAGCATAACAAAATAATACATGTAAGTACATATGTTTTCTAGTCCCCTAGCTATTGAAACGTGATCCTTTCGCATACAAAAGGACCAAACATTAACATGAACTTATAAAATTAAAATCAATGAGTTGGAAATCGTTTTGTAGTGGCGTGAACGGCATCTATTAGAACTAAAATCATGTACGAGTGGCGGTTGATTACAGCACGTTCATTCAATTAGTGGGCGTCCATTATTAGAGCTATTATTTTAAAAGCATCGCCTGTTACTGTTAGAAACAATCGGGGGTTAAATCTCTCTTTTCTTTCTTTCAGGACACGTCATTCACGTGAGGTTTTTAATGTTTTACATATGTATTATCACGACATGGCTACGTAGCAGTATGATAGTTGAAGATTTTTATGACCTGTAGACAAAAATCTGTCAGATAGGGTGCAAGTCTACATTTTTTTATATCATAAACTAGCATACGATGATGGTGAGCTATCGGCGTCGCCCATAGACACCCGGAACATCTTTTGGAGATTAGGAATGTGAGGATTGTTGGAGATTCAGGGGTTGGGGCGATTGGGGAAGGGGGAGGGTGGTAATTGGGCCTCCGGTAACCTCACTCACAAAACACAACGCAAGCGTTGCTTCACGTCGGTTTTCTGTAAGGCCGTGGTATCTCCGGTCGAGCCAGCCCATTCGTGACCAAGCATGGCTCGCCCACACTTAAGTCTATCTGGAACTGTTGAGTAAAATACCTAAAAAGAAGATTAGCTGAAAGATATTTATTTTATTTCAAAATTTATGAAGGTATTATATTTTGAAAGTCATAGTTTTCATAATATTTTTTGTGAATGGAGTAATACGTTCTGTTATAGATACTACTCAAAACAAAACAACGGCCACCCTATTTTTAGGTTTTTAACAAAAAACATTAATGTGTTTCTGGTTTTTAACAACAAACATCTTTAGATTAGTTATTTAGGCATTGTTTACACTTACTGAATCCCAAAAGTTATAAATGCTTTATTTTAGTAACTCTAAGACAAATATATGAAATTCACGAATCCCTTATTTTGTTTTGAGTAGTAAACTATTTATGTTGTCTTATTGGTTGTAATTATGAACCAAGTAATGTCTTATCATAAGCAAAATACCACATAATTTTCCCATGTACCTACGCAAAACTAAAGAACCATACCACCGACAAATCTTACATACTTCTTCAGCTTTCCATTTTACCAAACAATATTCACAAATATTACACAGAATTTTACATTTCGTGTACGTACACAAAGGCCGCTCCCTAATTCGTCGAATGAACAATATACGGTCACAGTTTGCGCACGCACTGCTCATCTCAGTACACTCGAAACGATCGTGTCATGCGCACACACATCGTTACATTGGTCATGCGTAGTGGTTTATAACAATAGTAGTTTGATTTTTATTTTAATTGTGTTTTAGTGATTTTTGTTCTGTGGTAAACTGGAAAATGGATACGAAAGTGATTGTTCTATATTTTTGTGCGGTGTTCGGTAAGATATTTGTATTTTTTTCTTGTTTAGAATTTTTTTTTTTAATTTCATTCACTTGTTTCACTTATTAAATAGAAATAATAATTGTTAATGGGTTCAGATTGTATATAGGGTGACTTGTAACTCGACATGTCCTCTCGGGAGGTGATAATGCAACTAATTTCCTACAAAAATAGCCCTAAGGTCCCTAGTCCGGAAAGTGACTAGTTTCTGAGATATTCAACATTTTCGGTTTTGGTGAATTTCGTCTAGTCCTTTGCAAAAAAATAAAGCCGCTGAAGAAATAACACACTCTTTCAGTTCAAGAGTCACCGTCACAGAGATAAAGAAGCGTGTACGGTCATGTATTTATCATAGGGAAGGTCACTTCTAACAAAATTTTAAAAATAATGATGTTTTTGAAATTGACCATTTTTTTTTTACAATCCACTTATCAACAAGTAATTAATTTATTTTTGAGGATATTGTAACTAACCTAATGTTTTTGGGTAGTTAATAATAGAAGGAAGTTTTGTAATAGTTTGTACGCTTAGTGTAATATATTTTTTTTAACTAAATCCAGTCTTCTTTCCTGCCAAATTAGTGACTCAAAACATAAATGTGCACCTCTGCCAACCCCTTCGGGGGTAAAAAGGCGTGATGTTATGATGATGATCTAAAACTTGATGATTAAAAACCATTATGTAATTTTTGTTTTAATTCAATGAGAATAATCATTGTGATTGTAATTTTGAGATGATGAAGACACGTCGTTCTTTTGAGAAAATAAAAATTATCGAATATATCTTTGCATTTTATACTTTCTGTTCATAATAATAGAAGATTATGAAAAAAAAATGCCGTGAAATTTTAATGAAAGCTTGTCTATTGATGTCGTAGTTTATTGTCTATTGTAAAAATAAATCATGCTACAGTATTTTGAGAATTTTTACATCAAATTGATATCTTTCATGATCCGAAAATCTAAGGAAAAAGAAAGGAAAGTAAAGCCTGGAAAACGTATACCTCTAGGTAATTTAGAAAATATCTTTAAGATTATTGTCCATCTTTCCCCTGTTTTGACTTCTTGAGCAACCTTCAAACTTGATCAAATAATTGGACATTGACACTGATAACTGACGCAAGTACTTCAATTCACCAGTAGACAGTAGTTATACAATATTCCAAAACAATCATGGTCAATCAGGGCGAGTCTCGATGGCTGAGCGTCTTTTTTTTTAAGAGGGGAAAATCATCGATTGTCTGCTCCCGCCTGGGTGAGGTGGGAGGGAGTGTCAGACTCTTACTGACTAAAAACCACCCCGTTCCTTCTCCTGCACGTCGAGCCGGAGCCCCCCGGTTACCCGTTAGGTTCTCCGCGACTCCGAATCGGCATCGGCCCTGTTGAGCCCCATCTGTGGTAGTCTAATGGCTCTTTGAGGCGCGCGCGGAACGCGATGCGCCGTACGCTCGGGTCTGTTTCTGGTCGGACGGGGAGCCAACCATGCTCGCCGTCCGCAGGCCCGCGAGGGTTGAGCGTCTACAAGTATGAATGTCGAGCAATCCGGGAAATCCCTCCTATATTTTAAGTATCTCTGCTATGCACTTGCTTTCCTCCTCTGCTGTTGCAGGTGTCCATAACTGGTGATGATTGTAAACATAACATCAAGCCTTTTATCCCCGAAGGGGTAGGCAGAGATGCACATTACGGCACTTAATGCCACTATACAATGTAAATGTCGCAAGTGAGACTGCCGGGCAAAGGGTATCGGGTTCGATTCCCGGGTCGAGCAAAGAATTAATGGGTTTTAAAAAAATATCAGTAGTAGCGCGGGCTTTGGAATTGTGCCCGGTATACGGCAATAGGCTCACCCCCGATTACATGGGACTCATAACATAAATAGTGAAAAGTGGGTGTTATATTGTACAGTGGTGATGATTGTTTAATTACCATCACTCCTTTGACTATTATTCTACTAAAAGGGGGCCACATACCCACAGATCTTAATTCCGTAGCCAAAGAAAGTATTATGGGCCCGTTCGGTTTCGGAGATTACTCTTCGATTGTTTAAAAATGCTCCGGCTGTTCACCCGTTTTTCATTATGGAACTCTTCAAGTAATTGGCGAATAGATATATTCTATTTCCCATCGGAAAAAGACACATATAAGTATGTGATGGTTCATTAACATAGTATATAATATGTCCATAAAACACTCAACCACGTGTGTACAGTTTAAACTTCCAAAGATTAAGTGTCGTGTCCGATTCGCCGTAAAAACGAAAAGGGTTACCTTCAGCACTTCTCATAAATAACGAGTAAACAAACTGTCACTGTTTTCCTATAAATCTCTTCAATACATGTTTCCAGTTAGAACGCTATTGATCTAGGCTAAGGCGAAGAGATTTTTACGAACTATCGCAATTTTTGGTTTTATTTAGTCTTGACATGATCGCTGTCTAGGAAACGAAGCATTAAAGGCCTGGAAAATATCATTTCATCATTAGATAATGGTCAAATAAATATTGCTTTCATGATGATCCTATTTTCATAAAAAAAATTCCGACCTTATATTGTTATGTACTCGTAGGTAACCTGTTCCAAGTCTTGACCCTTGTTCTGAATTTGCAATTGGGATGATGACAGGGTATGAAAATTAAAAAACTAATTAGTTCGTAAGTTAGATAATGAAAAAATATTAGACACGTATTTTTTTATTCTGTCGTATAATAAAACAATACTTAGATAAAACGAATCAAAGTTTAGGAGTGGGGGCGAAAACGTCATTTCTACGTAATGTACATAGAAGTGATGTCACGCGACATTTCAAATCAATATATCGTCGAAAGTATTCGTTTTTGTAAAAAAACTAAAAAATATGTGTGTAATGCTTTAAAATAATCTATCGTCTGGTAGATTCTTTTTCATTAAAATAAAAATTAGTCATCTACCCTATTACAAAAAATACGAGACAGATTTAAACTTCTTCTCTCAAAGTTGTTTAGAAGACTTAGATCATGTTTTAATAATCATTTTCAGTTAAAACTGTGTGAAGAGATGAAAAGCAAAAAGCAGGAAACAATATTGTATGGTCGCTTTTTAGTAATTCCTAGTTTTCATAAATTGAACTTTGATAAATTGATAAAGCGAATTAACATTTGGGAATTGTTTGTGTAATTTAATATAAGTAGGTTATGTACAGATGTAATTGGACTTGAAATTCGCTCACTATTTATAATTAAGATTGTTGTGTACGATTTTAATCTGTCGTCTGTATCTGTACTTATGTAAAATTAATAAATAAATTATAGCATAAAATCCGGCATCACTAAGTTGCATATTTTTTTCCCATCGCATCGCTCGGCGTCACCACACATGTTTAATAAACGCCAATTAAAATCAATTATTTAATATCATACGAGGCAATGAAAGGACATAATGTCCGCTTTATGGCGTCCTTAATAAATACTGATGGATAAATACCGAGTACTTAACCAAAATAGAATGATGAATAAAATTTCTTTTCGCGTCAAAGTATTTTTTAAGTCGAAATGTCGAGGCCCTTTTTGTAAGAAGAAAGTCCTTCGCTCATTAGAAGCTTCCTTTTTCTAAGTGACTAGTTCTTTTATCCAAAATGAGACAAGATTTCGGCCCTGCAAAGTACAATTTGATGTCTAACTCCCGTCGCAATTAGTGACATCTTTGCTATAGATAGCTACCTATTTACTCGTACGGAGCTTCCTATCTGAACAATGTCATTAGGAAGGACTATATCACACCAAATGAGGCTGGTTCTGTACAATACAAATATCGTCTTTATGATATATTTGTGTCTATGATTATATTTTACAAGTACCTACCTAGGGAAGGTCAAATTTAGTCAGTTGCCGCAGTGACTAAGCGAGCAACTGTCTGACGAATTTGATCCCCATTTAAAACATCTTTAATATTAGCATTCAATTCCAGATCAGAGTGTATTTTAAGTTTAATAGTGTTGACAAAAGAGTCTTTAACAGAAAACCCGCATTATCTATTAACAATAATGTTACCCTAAAAGACTACAAACTAAATACATATTTCTTCTCCACGCATATCATGTTCCTTGTTCCAAATATGCTACATTACGCATTAGAGACGACCGTCCAATTGAGCGAATTAAGAAGACCAACCGGTTAGATAGTGTCCGTTTGTTTGCGTCGCTCGCTTGCTTCAATTAGATAGTAAGTATTTTTAAATGATTCGGCTACACCCTTACTGATTATGAGACGTTTAATATGTTGTTAACATTGTCGTTTGGTTGTTAAAATTATTTTATTGAGCGTTTCTTTTTCAATTACTTCATATATTTTAAATTTTTCAGGAATATTACTCCTATCTCTATGTGTTATAGGAGTGTCTATAACCGGTATTAATTAGTTTATTAGTCCATGATATAAAACAAAAGGAATCATTGCAAACATTAGTTGTAAGAAATGAAATATAAAGACATCACAATAGGTAATTAAAAAATGTGAACAAATTCAATTAGATACAAAATCATCTGTGTCATACATATTCATATAGCTATCAACATACAGACAGCTAACGTGTTCAAAAACAAACGACTGACATACACCAACATACGATACTAATGAGAATGTCTCTCCCCTCGACTTATAATAATTTGTTTAATTTAAAAAACACGAAAACATAACAAGGAGTCCTTTGAATAGGGTGTTAAATTGTACCTTTTGACGGCACAAAAGAAAAAATATCATTATAGGGGCTAGATCGATTATGTTTATTGTATTTGACAGCTTAAATCAATATAACACAAAGACTAGTATCGCTTGCACACAACGCTCTTTAACTGTTAACTGTATGCTCAAATGATAAAAGTTATTATTTTAAAACAATATATTTATCTGTCTTTAGATACAAGTTGTTTTTAATTTTTATTATAATTTTGTTACGCTGGTCTATAAACAAAATTTGCTCAAGATAAGAACAAGGACACACACATTTTAAACTGCGATTTACAATTGCTAAGCCTATACCTACCACAGGTTCGGTCCCGTATGGAGTACTGTTCTTATCTTTGAGACTGTTCGACTAAATAACAGTTGAACGCGCTTCAAAGTCTTCAAAGTCTTGCGGCTTCAAAGCCTCGAACACAGTTGAGAGTGCGGGGAAAGTGCACATCTTGATTCCACCCAGTCCATTCCATCATCATATCACAAAACAATCAGCAAAGCGCCACCGTTTCATGGTGGATGTCCCACTCGCAAGAAGTGTTTCGCTGCAAGCTTCCTTGTGCGTACTGCTAAGGAGTGGAACTCTTTGCCAGAGTCTGTGTTACTTGAAGGGTATAACCTGGTTGTCTTCAAGGCCCGAGTGAATAGGAAGATTATGGGCAGACGTGCTCCATCGTAGGTCGCATCATCGTTTACCACTAGGCAAGATAGAGGACAAACGTCGGCCCATCAAATATAAAAAAAAATGTACAACTTGTCTACTGAAAGAAGAAATTATGGGAAACCCATGGAAGACTGCAAGTAAACAAGAGAAACAAGAGTCGTAACTATCAATATAGGTACTATGTATAATTATGTTACGGCTAAGTAGTATACGTAATATAATTATGTAAGTTTATTGTTATGTCATATACATGTAAGTTTATATAGGGATTTATTTTATTTAAGTCTATACTATCCGTTTTTCTATGTATTTCTGTTGAGTCTTAAATACGCTTGCTTCTTACATCGACCATTGTTTTTGTCTCTGCATCACCCAAAGATCTGGCTGGAGGAGAATGCCCTAGGCATTAAGCCCACCTTGTACATTAGTGTGTGCATGAAGTCTTTTAAAATAAAAAAAATAAACAAATGGATAGTGGAAGTCCAACAGTGAATTTTGTCATGGGATGTTGAATCACATTGACAACATCCATTAAAAACATAATAGGTATCTTAACAAAGCCAATAATCTGATTGAATTTTAAAACACATTAATAATGAAGTACTTGTACCAAGATACATTATCAAAATTAGGTAGGAACGAAAAGTTTTACTGAATACAACAATGTTCTACCAAACCGCCTTTGGACCTGTTTATTTGAACAAAACATTATCAGAATAAAATAGAAAATTCGTAAGAGTTGAAAAACTTCAAAGCTACAAGAGCTACAGCCATTAAATATTAGGTATATATAAAGTAACAAAATTACGCGCTAAAATACATATTCAAACCTAGATGCACTGGGTTTTGAGCCATACGATGTACCTATATACCTACCATTGAAGTAGGTACATCACGAAAGCATTTTAAAGTAACATGCAATATTAAAAATGTGCCCTTAACATTCCTAGCAAAATTAAAGTTTCGTAGAAATGTTAACAAAGTAATTTTCTAACATATTTATTTGGTTCGCAAACTGAATTTTAGTCACAGTACGACTGTTATTATCACGTGTTCAATCGCGCATTTAAATGGCGGCGTGCGTGACTTTAAACTTTAAAATTGCTGGCCATGCATTCACGCTGATTAATTGTTTAATTTACTTCGGAATATGGAATAATTTTCTCGTTCACAACTACACTGAAAAGGTTGGAAAAGGTGAGACGTTTTTGTAAGAAAATAAATGTAATGTTGCTACCTACGTTCATACCGTTTCATTTTCAATTTAACTTTTTGCCAAACTTCTGAGAAGGTAACGCTTTCCACGTAAGTAGCTGCTTTTTCGTATAGAGGTAAGCGTTCGATATTCTTGTGACGTGGGTTGGTAAATAATAAACATAACTATAATGCTATGTGGTTAGAAGTTTCTGTTTAGAAGAAAAACACATTTTAGAGTTGGCTAAGCACCTTTTAAATAGATAAATTCTCTATTTTAACTGACAGATAGTGTAGTTGTAGTAGGTACCTCACTAATATCCTAAACACAAGCTGCCTGACAAGCGTGGAGGTTATAAATACCCTCTTTATAAAGGATACGCACAGTCCAGCAGGGGATTTTCCCGGGATGATCTTAATGGATGGAGTTTTTTTATTTTAATTAACTAAGCGTTTTTCTAAATATATGTCATTGTGTGTGTACCTAGTTGAAATAAACGATTTGACTTTCAACCTTTTGGTTTTTCAGTTGCCGTTGGAGCCATAGAAATGAACTTAACGAACGAGTGGAAGCAGGACATCGGCTGGGAGATCTACTGCTCGTGGAAGATTCCAAATGGCGATTCCTTACAGTCAGTCCGGTTGTACCAGAACAACCAGCAGTTCCTGATATTTAGACCTGAGGTAATTTCAATTAAATTTGATGGAACTACACAATGTATATAGTACATGGAACTATGTAGCTATAATAGACACAAAGCCACACATTTTAATCTACCTAAGTATTACAATGGTAAAATTCACTTTCACCACTTATAAGTTCTATGTAATACGGATCCACAAATTCAGAACTGATGCCACTACTGAGATAAATTTAAAAGGCTGCAATAATACTTTACATAATCTGTGAAACAAACTGGACACCTCTTACCCGGTGCCGCACCTGCAACTACTCGACCAACGAAGCAGTCCAGTACTACAAAAAACAACACTTATACCTCAGGGATTAATGGAACCAAATTCGTTTAAAAACGCGGTTAACAAAACGTTTCAGTATAGGTACATCAGGTACCGTATTACAGGGGAATTATCTCATCCTTCCGGCCCTAAACGGATCAAAATGATTAAATTTTTGTTTACAAAAGGCAAAGGTCAACCACCAAACATCCTGTAGCAGTCCTCTTTGTTAGATGGTTTACAATTGCAGGGAATTAAAACTGTTTTGTAGTAATCTTCTTAAATATGTAGGTAGACATAGTGAGTATCGTGGATAATATTAAGTGTTTAGTAGATTATGATTGTTACCTGCGTATTGTTCAGTCATTTTATTATCTTCGAATGTCATGTTGTCATCATGAAGCCAAGAGGATACACTATTTATTTATTTAAACCGTGCACTTACTGGCTCACAGTGGGTACCAAAACGCCAGTAAACTAGTTAATTAAAATAAGAAAAAAAAAATGTCATAAACATAATAAAAATAGAATACAATACAAATAAATAATATCAAATTAATAAATGTTAAATATTTTTAGTACATGTCAAAATACATACAATTTAGGATATTATAAAAATATAGATAGAAGGGACAAATGTACTCCGACACATGCCGCTAGCGACGCTGGGTGAAGAAGTGCGACGTTGTCGGCCTTTGGTCGACTGGCAACATCAACGTCGCAGTGGACGTAAGTCGAGCGTTGTCGCCTTATATGTGAGGTGAAATCAGCCGGCATCGTTTGACATGTCGCCGATATATGTATATCATGCGACATTTGTGCCCTAGTGTATCCTTGGCTTCGGTAAGGGGAACTATTCGCATATACTTTGTGACTAACGATAATGAATCACACAGATTGTAAAACATAAAAATAAAACATTGCCCCATTACATTATGATTTTCTCCTGTGTCGTGGGTGCGTTTACAAACATACAAGTTCGTACTGTACATTGTGTATGTACACATGACATCCAGACCCGCAACAACGATCTGTGGATCACACAAAGAGTTGCTCAGTGCGGGAATCGAAACCGCGACACGTTGCGCGGCAGTCAGCTGCCCAACCATGCAGTCAAATTAATAAAAAAAAAATAGTAACGTATAATGTCGGTCTTGCTCATTCTTCTCCATTCGAATCTATATTTTGGTACGAGCACCTAGCTTCACTGACGGACAGACTTGTAGGCTATTATTTATTTTGTATTTATCGACGTTTCATAAGTACCAAATTAAGGTTTGATTTAAATAAATGCTTTGACTTTGTCTCACAACGATGACAGAGTAGAACACATTTAGGTACATCTCATTATCCCTACTTTTCCCTCCCATGGGTGTCAATATTTGTAGCTTTTCAATCTATTATTTTTAGGATATCACCTTCGTTGATGTGTTAACTTTTCAGAAATGTATCTAGATTCTAACCAATTATATTTCCTTTACTTACAGACGGACGGAGACAGCCGCGTTTTAGTATACAGACGTCTTGAAGATGTTTTAACAACAAACTGTGCAATTTCCAAAGAAGAAAGGCAGATGGGAACTTGTGTATTGACTTCTGAACTGTACCAGCCTCAGAAACATGGCTTCGCAATAACGTGTGAGGTGTCGGGAGAAAGGCCCTACTTTAGGATGGAAAATAAAACTATTTTCGTTGATAAATATGGTAAGTGACCGCCTCGCTGGTCGAGTAGTCGCAAGTGCGAATCCCGGGTAAAGGGTCTCGGGTTCGCTTTCCGGGTCGAGCAAAGTACACCTCATTAGTAGCACGGAGTCTGAAATTGTCCCCGCTATATGGCATTAGGCTCACCCCCTAATTATTTCAAGGAACTCATAACATGAATAGTGAAAAGTGGGTGTTACATTATATCGAACCCGCACCCCGACCACCTCGTCTCCACACATGAGATATAGCTAAAATAATATCGATACTAAAGCAATCATAATTGTTTTTATTTGACAGTTCCACCTACAGACACCGCGCTGAGGGTTGTGTCAGAGAATAAGGATACGGGTCGGGTGACCCTGAACTGCACCTCTAGTGGTGTACCGGGCCCTAATTTGACGTGGACAATACTTGGTCAACAAAAGGTATGAACCTATTCTTCAAATTGTATTGATGAAAGTGATCAAAATCTTGTCTTGATTTTGAACTGAAATCAGTCTTGACTTGATACAAAACGCACGATTTTTTGAGATGTTGTCAATACAACAACATCAACAGCCTACAAGTGGCCACTGCTGACCATAGGCTTCCTCAATGCAGGTTGGCAATTTAAAATTACAAATTATAAGCTTAGGTTTCATCACTACGTTTTTCTTCACATTCTGTCAGTGGTGTCTAAAAAATCTTAGGAAGTTTTAAGTGTGGGAGAGCCATACTTCGGCACGAATGGGCCGGCTCGACCGGAGTGATACCACGGCCTCACAAAAAACCGACGTGAAGCAACGCTGGCGTTGTGTATCGTCGTGTGAGTTAGGGTACCGGAGGCCCAATTACCCTCCCCTTCCCCAATCCCTGAATCCCCAACGATCCTCAAACTCCTAATCCTTAAAAAAGCCGGTAACGCACTTGTAACGCCTCTGGTGTTCCAGGTGTCCATGGGCGACGCCGATTGCTTACCATCAGGTGATCCGTATGCTCGTTTACCGGCTTATGCCATAAAAAAGTACATATAACTCGGAAATTGTCACATTGGTGCATGTTTGCTGTGGGTAGGTTTCGAGCCCGCACCCTTCTGCATGAGAAGCGGACGTCTTAAACCTCCGGGTAACCACGATATTTTTGAATAGCTGACTTAATAATCGAGTACCTAAATACAAAATTAATTACATCAAAACTTGTTCAATCATTTACTTAATAGTATGAACTAGTTACGATGTAGAATTAGAATTGCAGCTTATTCATATGAACTGCTGTCAAAAAGTTTAGCCTCAAGTTCTACTAGTAAATTACAGCCGTTCATTAGGTGTAATGAAGCTAAATTCTGAATTTCTACTTAGGTATTTTAGTGCCTTCAGTTTGATGAAAAATATAGGCAGTCTTAAATTGTCAAAAACCGTGAGGACACCGGTGACCGCAACCTATTGTTTGCGGTTGATGATTTAATTGTGTCTATAATGACGGTACTCAAAGGGTTAAATCATCTCTTCCAATGGGGCTAACGTTTTTTTAGCGCAGCGGATGGCGCAAATTCAGAAATAGGAATTTTTTATTCAATCACAGCAACTGTCAAATATTTATCGTCCAATCATGGGACACTAGCTAATTTGTTATAGGATGAAGAACGAGAAGTTCAAACTAACGCCATAATTATGGTGAGCAAACAATCCATAAATCAGCGAAAATAACTCTTTCAGATCCCTCACGATTTTACCGGTGTCGCTTGGAACGCAACATCTAAACTATGGGATGTATGGTCAGTGCTATCTTACACGTCAAATGCAGAAACTACTGCAGTTTGCACGCCAGAGGTCAGCACTGCTGGCAGGCTAGTGAAGGGACAATCTGTTGAATATAGTTCTGCAGGGAGTTTTAGAGGTAAGTTTTTCTTATAATTGTCTGTTTTGTGACTGCCTCATTGGCTGAGTGGTCGCAAGTGCGACTGCCGGGCAAGGGGCCTCGGGTTCGATTCCCGGGTCGGGCAAAGTATTGGGTTTGTAAAAACCTCACTAATAGCACGGAGTTAAAATGTGCCCGGTGTATGGCAATAGGCTCACCCCCTATTACATGGGACTCATAACATAAATAGTGAAAAGTGGGTGTTATATTGTACAGTGGCATTTAAGTGCCGTAATGTGGATATGCTCTTCGGGGAGAAAAGGCGTGATGTTATGTGATGTATCTGTTTTGTGTGGTTGATCGATTGTAAGCGAGATTGCAGAGCAAATGGTGTCTCGGGTTCAATTCTAAAGTCGGTAAAGTATGGTACATTTAACTTTTCTATTTAGAAATTCTCAATAGCCACATGTTGTACAACCAATCCCATTATATGTCTATCATAAAATTACCTCTGGCTATCCCAAGACAACATCTTACAAATTGTAAGTTATTATTTTTTTGTATTCCTTTTCAGGACTAGTAAAACTAATCATGAGCGCTGCACTATACCTGGCACTTCTAAGATGACCAATACAGGAGTAAAAGGCGAATACTTAATGAAACCAAAAACATTTGATTTGTTCAATTTTATTTCGGCTGAGTATCGTTGTAAACGATTGAATATTATAACTTCAATGCTGCAGTTACAATAAGTAAGATAAGTAAAGCTATCAAAAGAAACTGAATGTTTTGATTTAATGAAACAAAATGGCGGATTAACGTATGCAGCTGACCAATTGACAATAATATCTGCTTGTCAAACTGACAGCGGCATACACTACAGATAAAAACCATCTTCTGAGACATAGAAAATTAAGACTGAGTCATGATTTCTGATGTTTATCAAACAGATAACTGAGATGCCATATTATCGAAATGATTGTTTTGTTTCCGTATAACGGAATTCATAGATATTTTATAAGCTAAGGCAACGTCCTAATATTATAGTTTTTAGCCCGTGTAAGTAAGAGACCTACTTATTGTAACTTCAGCTACATTTTATACATATTTTGGCTCTTTTTAGAGATTCTTACATGTTTTACATTTTATTCTGTAGGTTACCATTATATTAATTTTCTATTACAGATAATAATTGAAATTCATAGTATATTATAATATGCACTTAAAAAACCTACTTATTAAATGAGAGGAAGACCTTTGCCATTTATATAATGTAATATAATTATTATTATTACCTATAACATGACAAGGTAATGGAAATGGTAAAAGTCCCCCACAATGAATGTTACGTGCATTTCACAATATTTTTATCAATAAAATCGTGACTATACAATTGTAAATAAATTTTGGACGTTATATTTCATCAAATAGAAGGAAAGTTTTTAAGAAAATAATAATTTTAGCACCTCAGAGGCACTGGAAGGATAGATATAATAAAAATACGTAAAAATTATTGTGACTAGGTCAAAGACAATTACTTGCTTGCAAAAGAAACAGCGCCCTTTTAATTTTATACAATACTTTATGAAATTACTCTCTAACTGACTTTTTTCGGTTAATTTTGGCATATAAATATTCAGTGTAAATTTTGCAAGCAAGTTTGCGTAAAGAAAATATATTTTTAAGCAAAGATCTGTAGGTAGGAACGTAATTTTGTAGTTGATATTTTTGAATGACAGTGTAGTTTATATATTATAGTACAGATTTATAAGTGTTTTTATTATATAATTACTTGTTTTATTAGATATAATGTGACGAAGCCAGTTGTTAGCCGCCCACCTATTTTTATTATAATTTAGAAACATTCCTGTTTGAGATTATCAGTTTATTCTAAGGTACCAATAAATGTAATGTTTTAGTTTTTAAGTTCTTAGATTTTCAATTTTACCGAAATAACTGTATTTACAGAGGCCCGTAAAATGAAACATGCAGATACTTAACTTATTGCGCAATTTTTTCTCATAACAACTGTACCTATGTCTTACAACAAATTTTAAATGAACGGTTTAGAGATTTTTAGACAATAAACAACAAGAAACCTTTTTAGAATTTTACTCCACCTCAAAACAGACATATAACTACAGCCGGAATACTGAATCGTTACTCAATTTTAAGTATAATTCTGTCACTAGAAATTATTTGTGAATTGACAGAGATGGCACGATTAAGCACGACATAAAATTGAGTAACGAGTTCAGTATTCCAGTAGTAATTTGTCTAAATATTTAAATATTATATATTTATTTTCAAAATTCGTTTACATTGATTTCAGCTCTTAATTTGATTGACATAATTTAAGCTTCGATTAGAGTAAAAAAAGGCCATCTGGACTGTAGGTAAGTATTTTTCGAATATTTTCTTAAATTGTGAAAGGTATACGACTAACATGTAGGCTCTTGATTGTAATATGAATTAATAACAACATGTTACAATGAATGACTGATAAATCACGACCATATTTCCTAACGATGAATATTATCACAGTGCCATCATTCTTTGTCATAGAAATCTCACTATACTCAAAGTTCAAAGGCATATGTTTAACATTTATTGTTGACATTGTAATATATTATCTTGGTTATTAAACCATCGGAGATTTTATATGTAGAGGCAACTTGAATTATGGTAAAACATTTTTGGATTAATAAATAAGATTATTATGTTTTTTTTTTCTGCTGGAAAATGGTTACATTCAAAGAAGAAGGCTTTCGATTGTGACACAGATGCAACTAAAAAGGGATATAATAAGAGAAAGTTAATTCGTAAATAAATGTATAAATAAGTTAACTGAACTCTTTTGCATGACTTCCCAAAAGAAATTAAGGTTTTTCCAGCATTTTCTCATGCCAACTGTGTATTTTTAGTTTTTTAGAACATACGAGTATAGTGATATCCCCACGCCATACAAACACGTCGGTATCTCTCAGTCGCCCCGCCTAGCGAGGGTATACAATAGTACCTAACTATACGAAGTTACAATGGAGGCCAAGATAAGACACTACATACAATTTTATATTAATACTTTTTGCTGCAATCAAATGATATGAAGAAATACGTTGGAGTTTATTTTGTTAGTGCACATTGTTATGAAATATTTTATTGCATTTGAACGAAACGATCAGATGGATCATCTGATCAGAATCGTATATGAACATTAGAAATATTAAAGGAATGACAAGTTTATTTTAAGTCATATTTTGAAGTCATAGTAGCTACGATCTTATTAGCCGAAGCGACCGTCATAGTGTTATTGTGTAATTTTAAATACATTCTCCATTGATTTGGATAAGACACTGAATAAACCGTATTTTACTAATAGTCCGATAACTAAGTAGGAAATATGGGGGTTCATGGAAAGTTTTCTGGGAGTTTTGAAAATCGGCAATTTTGTAGATTTTGATGTGCTCTTTTCGATTTCCATTTTGCGCCTTTACAAGGTTCGCCGCTCGCGCCGCCATCTTGGAAAAATGGCGACCAAAAACAGTTTCTTTACAATATCTATTTTCCTGTGCATTCAACGACAAAACCGTTAACTACAAAATTAAACTACTCACAATTTTCTACAATTTATGTCTAGACAGCATTTGTGTAATATAAGTAGTTTTGGCGCCAGAACACCGCATAATACATTCTTTTATTATGCGACTTAAAATATTCACGATAAATTAATTCAAAACAGTATGCACTAACAAACGTAGACATAGACAGAGAGAGATAGACATAAGACTACATAAGAGAATGTACAGATTATACAATCAAAGTAACTTAGAAATAAAAATACATACAATATAGACACATTTTTTTATATAAAATAACAAAATTAATCACTAATAAATGCAGTGTAAATCTGGCACAGAATTATAATAATAATAATATTAAATGCATTAAAATTCTTAACTTTTATTTATTTTTATTTAATTATTATAATAAATATAATTAAACTACTCTCACTTGGCCTGGAATGTTTTGTGCGAAAGAAGTCGATACTTATTATTATCAATTATTTTTAAAGGATTTTTGTGTCGTCGAGGCGCTAGTGTCGTTTAAGATCTTACCAATAGACTAATTTGTTAATAACAAGTACTTTGACAATTATTATTTTCTTTTCATCTTCTAGCTAGGACCTTATACCAAACTAGTACCAACTAGCGATCACAAAAACTCTGCATTGACTAATATTATGCCATTTAAATATTATCATTTTTGTAATGGGTTTTATTAATTTTATTGTGTTGAAATATTGTTGGTTTTCTCGAATGATTCTAAGTTTGCAACCAACATATCAACATACTATTACAAACCATTTTAATGATATTTTATCTACCTCTACATCAGAATAACACAAAAAAGTCTGTCTCGTCACTTTACTTACCTATTCCTTCCTACAATTTATTACGAATACATTTTGTCCTTTAAAAAGGACTATTTTGTGTCCTTTATAAAGGACTATCTTCTGTCCTTTAAAAAGGACTACCATACACTTCCTGGCCAGTAAATTATTATTTCATCGATTAATACATACTTTAAAGTCATAACTAGCACATTTCAACACATCTATGAGTGATATTGACTAGAAGTAACTACTTATATCTAAAAATTTTATTATTTGGCTAATTATTATAAAGATTCATTCAATTTATATTCAAGTCACTACTATTCAGATGACACAAGTACAATCTGAACAAACGTCTTTTATTTGAGAAAAAATCCTTAATTTTATTTATTGTATACTTTTTCGTGGCCGAATGTGTAATGTACATTCAATTATACTAGAAAGCTTTTATTTTTAAACTTTTAATTGTTCAAAATGGATAAAAGAACAATTATGATTTTTATTGTTGCGTTATTAAGGTTGGTTTCAGCTTGGACCTATGTTCTTAGGGTATCTACTCACAAGCGAATGATTCGTCTAATATACAAGGTGTCATTGAGAATAGTGACAACATATTAATACTGTGTATAGCTAACTTTAGGACTTTAGTGGTATATTAGCAAAAATTCTAAATATACTGATTTTAAACGTTATTCTGATAATACAATTTAATATTGTTCTACAGTAAAAATGTCAAATATTTTATACATCTACGTATACTGGATGGAAAAGTAATGAACAACATAAATGTTGATATTAAAATGCATAATTTTGTGCGAACACCTCTGGGTATTTTGAATTGTACGTATCCTGAAATCTGAACATGTTTTATGTGTCTTAAAGTATTTTTGAGACCAATATATTAATGAGTTATCAATTTTAAAAATCTAATACAAAATACATGTATTGAGTAGATTTAATTTTTTTTTTAATTGAATTGACATTAGGATTTTCGCCCGTCTCGTGGGTGCGTTTACAAACATACAACTCCACATACACAATGACACCCAGACGAGGAACAACAATTTGTGGATCACACAAAGTGTTGTTCCGTGCGGGAATCGAACCCGCGACACGTTGCACGGCAGCCGGTTGCCCAACCACCGCACCAACCGTGCAGTCACATATCAAATACATAATGACTAGAAATATATTTATATTTGACTGCCGCAATATTGAAAAACATACCTTTCTCTAACTAGATACGGTAGATCTAAATCTAAAATTGAAATAGGTACTTGAAAATTAAGACTGCCTCATTGGGCGAGTGGTCGCAAGTGCGACTGCCGGGCAAGGGGTCTCGGGTTTGATTCCCGAGTCGAGCAAGTATTACTGAGTTTTTTAAAAAAAATCTCAGTAGTAGCACGGAGTCTGGAAATGTGTCCAGTATATGGTATATCACCCTACATGGGACTCATAAAATAGTGAAAAGTGGGTGTTACAGTGGCATTAAGTGCCGTATGTGCAGGTGCACCTCTGCACCCCTTCGGGGATAAAAGGCGTGAAGTTATGTTATGTTATGAAAATTAATATTGACACCTTCTGTGTGGAGCTATGTAATTTCAAAATTCTATCTTTGGAGGTGCAAAATCTGCAGATAGAGAAGTCTTCAGAAATGAACAAGAATAATTTTTGTTCTTAGCTTTTTCCCAAAAATGGCCGATTAACCCGTGGTATGCCGAACGCAGATCTACGTGAAACATGATATGTTTCCTATTGTGTTTAACTCGTCGAGTACCGGTTTTGTAGACACAATTATAGAACAATAGGTTGCGGTCACCGGTGACCGCTTGGTGTTTGACAGTTTAATATACCGACATTCAAGCGATTAATACACGTCATACAATACTTCAAGACACATAAAGAATGTCCTAGAATAATGTCAGTCACTAGTAGTTTCTTTACAATATGTGTACCTGGACCTAAGGTGCAGTTTGTAACCAGGCCCGGAGACCACGAGCCCGCTCTGCGACACCGTCGTCTGAATTATCTTGGAGCACTGGTTCTGGCTGTAAAACGAAAAACAAAAGAATTTGTAAGACATATTCTACCTACACTTATAAAATGGGGTAGATTTCTCATTTTTATTTTAATGTCCGTCTGGTAGATTATTTTAAAACACTAGCTACTTCCGCGCGGTTTCACTCGCTCTGCTCGGCGCCTATTAATCGTAGCGTGATATTTTACAGCCCAAAGCCTTATAATATTAGTATAAATTAGACACGTATTTTTTATTTTTTTACAGCAACGAAACTTTCGACGGTATATTGATTTGAAATGTCGCGTGACGTCACTTCTATGTACAGTTTATAAGAAATGACGTTTTAGCCCTGGCTCCTAAATTTTGATTCGTTATATCTAAGTATCATTTTATTATACCTACATCAAAATAAAAAATACGAATCTAATATTTTTTCATTACCTAACTGATGAACTAATTAGATTTTAATTTTCATATCCTGTCATCATCCCTATTAACTAAAAATTACGACTAAATCATGTAAATATACTGCGAAAAGCTCTACTAGTTTCGAGTCACAGAGGGACTCTTCCCGATGACAACTAGCCTCGTTGGCCGAGTGGTCGCAAGTGCGACTGCCGGGCAAGGGGTCTCGGGTTCGATTTCCGGGTCGGGCAAAGCATTACTGGGTTTTTGAAAATTCTCAGTAG